TCATAAGTACCAAAAATTCCTTATAAATGGTGTAATTTTTAAAGAATGGAGAGAAATTCATTATTAGTCTTCATTTTTTTCTCTTTTAGTGGTCACCATTTGCAGCTTGTATCTCCCACCATGACCCATTTTTCTAACTTTTGTTTTTATAAATTTTTGTTCCAACCATTAAGAAAGATGAAAACTTAATTAGAACAATTCGTTTCGATTCACATGAAAACTTGTCATATGCTGGTATTGCTTTCTGCAACACCAGCATATTTATCAATCTCATGTGCATTACCTAGGAAGTAGAAGAAATGATCATTTCATTTGGTTTCATATTTTTTCTTTTGAAATATAGTTATCCCCTCTATTTGTCGAAACATCTATTTTTTTAATACATATTATTTCATTAATTGCATATAAACTAATAACTATATATGTTTAATTTTATATAGATGATAAAATCACATTAGTATTAATATTAACTTATTTTTTTAAAAAATTCATACCCGCACACGGGTATGGTCAACCTAAACTTATCTAGTTAACCTTAAACGTAAAAAAAAGAAACCTTATTCAAGTTAATTTGCTTTTTTATTTTCATATGGTCAACCTAAACTTATTTTCCTATTATATTCACCAAATTTCTTTAAAAAATCGGTACGAACAAAAAAAGAGAAAATTAAATGTAAACAATTAAAACAGTGACCAAGTAAACACGTTTTACGTATTACGGTATTAGTTAATAGTATGTAAATAAATTATGACTTCTGAAAATTTATCGCAATTTATCACAATTATTACAATTTTTTTACCTAATATTCTTATCTCCCATTATTTGTTTAACAGTTATATCTTTGTAACCGTTAAATAAGTATTAAGTTAAAACTTCCCTATGCAAATCTGTGTAAGCAAATGCTAGTGTTGATGATTAGTGTTTGCAAATTCTTCAAGTATTAATTATTGGCAAATAAACTTTAGTGAGAAATGTTCCATTTCAATAATTGTAAAAAAGGTAATCAGCCAAAAAATTCAGATAAATGAACCAAATGTCTTCATTTTGTTTCTCATGCATGCATCAAGGAGATTCATTTCACGATTTAAAATGACATTAAATCTTAAATAGATATTTTGTGATAATTTTAGAATTAATTAGCTAAATAGTAATAGGGAAATGACAGATTGAAATATCAGTTCAATAGGAAATCATTTCCCGAGAGGATATGAATTTTTAGATTTGGATGCATATTATAGTTTGACATAATTAACATAAAAATAAATTATATTGTCATATGCTGGTATTGCTTTCTGCAACTCTTACATGACTTTGAGCTATATACATAACTCTTATTCTCACTTAACGAAAACAAAACAAACAAAAAAGACTCTCTTGCTGAAGATACCTCCCAATAACTCTTAAATCAAGAATCTCAAGAGCTCCTCCAGATTTAACACATCTTGGAGTCTTATACTGATACACCG